GAAGATGGGGCGTGCCAGCGCGCGGTCTGTCCCGATCTTATGACGTAACAGTCGCTCTCTAAAAAGACGTAACTATGGTGTCGTTTACAAAAGAAAAAAATGCACGCAAACCTTTTTACAGAAATAAACTGAAAGATTTATTTCGCTTTCTTTTATATTTTGTGAGGTTTTTAGCAGTATCATTAAAACAGAGAAAATGTTTTCATTGTATATGATAATATAATTTTATTATTCAGTTATTTCAGTTCACAAAGTGAAATTTAAGCTATGTAGAATACTTCATTGTTATCAAAGGGAAATTAAATGTTGTAACTCTTATTAGTTAAGATTCTTCAACGAGTTATTGTAGATAGAAATTGCTGTTGGCAGGAAAATCTTCTGTAGTCATCTGTATTACAGCGAATCTGAAAAAGCCTCTGACTGAAGACACTCTATTTTCCCAAGACAGTCTCAAGAGGAGGATGGCCAGGGTTGTCCATAATTTAAAATAAATTAGCTAACACATAAGTGTGCTTCCAATATTATCCTGAACATGGAATAGTAACATTATATGCCAGTTCATATTTTGGTATATGTAGTTTTGTAAAGAAAAATGTTTTTACATATATGTCTCCATGTCATGAAAGTATATTATGAGACAGATAACCTGTTAAAAAATAAGCTCCACCATCTTCTCCTGCTATTATTGCCATCTGAAGAAATGCGCCACTCCCAGTCAAAATCAACTAATTACAGCCAGGAGGAGTATGGAGAGGACATGGAGAGATATGCAAGAATAAAACCAAAGGTACACACAGTATGTTGGGGAGAGTAAAAGTAATCTTTTACTTAAAGTGACTTCGAAAGCAAAGACATGACACTAATGCCTCAAACTACAATACTGTATACACATATGTACGAAAATGCGTCCTTAAAAATGTTGCTGAAAAAGGCAACAGTCTGTGAAAAAAATGCCTTCCCATACCGGGAGTCGAACCCGGGCCGCCTGGGTGAAAACCAGGAATCCTAACCGCTAGACCATATGGGACTCATTTTAACCAACGCCTACCATTAAGAAAATGTCTACTAATACCATATGTAGTTTTTGTCTATTTCCCAGACTTTTCAACTACACTACCGAGGTAAACGAGTAGTTGTTTTCGTATGCTCCACCAGGGGGAGGCACTTCATTGGTAATGTTACCTGATGTCAAACAAACGAGTCAAATGTTGAAAACATACTTATGCTATTACAAATAATTATTTATTTTTCGTAAGTACCTTTTGTGTTTATTCAGCCTTAAATGATTTTTTAAACTTTATACATTATTTTCTTACTTGGACGTTGTTTAGTTTGACAACGCATGATGACGCAATCAATAAAGGACAGTGTTGTGGTTGTTGAAATGTGGAAGGCAGTTGTCTTCATATTCAGCTCGTTTTGATCAATTTCTTTTTACTTTGACCACACATAACTAAAATGTACGTAATGAAAAACTCTCCTGAGTTTATATCTGTATGCATTTGTGACGTCAGACCGGTTAAATATTCAGCATTGTGTTTTACGTTAGCAACAAAGGCTAAAGCTAAATGTTTTCTTCTTTAATTCAAGAATTTTGTGCATTTTCCAGGGCGGATTATTGGAAGTCACAACCGAGAAAATTCTGCCAGTACTGCAAGTGCTGGATTGCTGACAACAAGCCTGTGAGTATTACAGAAACATACATCATTATCCCTGGAGGTAATGCTACTACTTCTAATGTTTGATCTGCAGAGCATCGAGTTCCATGAAAGAGGGAAAAATCACAAAGAAAATGTGGCTGCAAAAATTTCTGAGGTAAGAATATTGATTTTATATTTATTTATGGGATAAATAACCAATTAACACACAATGAACACAAATACATTTGGGGTAAAAACAATAATAATAATAATTGTTGCTTTACTCATGTTATAAAAGTTTACACCGAAAATATTTTCCTGTCTTACTAGTATAATATCTAGTATCACTTCACAAACATACCAAGTTTGTATTGTTATACAGAGTCCAGTTTGGACCCTACCTGAGCAAAGCATGTGGAGGTAGAGGAAAAGAGGAAGAAAACTGCAGCAGAAGCAGTTCTAGATTTAGCTCAGAAACTCCAGAAGACACACATAGCACCTTCAATTATCACATATAAGAGAAATAAAACTACGTTAGACATAACTAACTCTTCAGTATATTTTCTGAAAACAGTTAAGAAGCATAACAAAGATAAATAAGAAAATAACTGTTATACAATATTTAATTTTCATTTTGAATTGATGAAGTATTTTTGAACTAACTTAAACTGAAGCATTGAGCCAGGAATACATTTTACTGACTGGAAAAAGACAGCAAGAAAATATAGGATATTGCCATGAATGCATTATGAATGAAGAAAATATTTTGTTTCTATATTGCTGTTTAGAACTTGAATAAACATTAATAAACATTACAGATGATCAACCAGAGAGAAAGTGCCTCATTTGGCATCATTCTAAGGACTGGCAGTAGAGATAAGCTCCAGGCTTCCACATCACGACTAACGTTGTCCTGCTATTGGCCGACCAGCAGCAGCCGCTGATCTGTCTCTGACCTTCTCTGGGCAGATTAAGAAAAAGAGTGTTGAAAAGGCGAAGAAGGAAGAGCGGATGTCCAAGGAGTTTGCAGCGATGGAGGAGGCAGCGCTGAAGGCGTACGAGGAAGATCTGAAGAGGATGCAACGGGGATCAGATGGTTATTCAGCAACATTTTATTAAAAGTGTTTTTGCTTTTTATTTGGATTTAAATTGAGTATATTTTGTAGGATCAAGTTCTCCAGTTCGAGCAGCCCCTCAATATCAGCCTGTACCTCTGGTGGGAGTTCAGCCCAAAAAGCAGCAGCAGCAGAAGAAGAAGAAGGGATGGAAGGCGAGCAGGAAGTCCAGAGAGGGACCAAGTGAGATGCAGGTTTGGGTGGAAGGCCAGAGCGATGAGGGACACATCTACTACTACAACACCGTGACAGGAGGTGAGGCAGGCTGATGCAACAGAACCTCCTGCTGGAATCCAGAACCATTTCCGTCTTATTTCTCCTGTTCTGCAGTGTCTCAGTGGGAAAAACCCGAAGGTTTCCAGGGAGGAAGCTCAGCTTCTGCTCAGTCCGAGCAGTCTGAGGTAAATTCTGTCCTCAAGCTCTGCTTCCTGTTGAGCTTTACATTCTGATCCCATTTCCCTTCAGAGTTCTTCGGGTTCTCCCTGGATGGAGGCAGTGAGTCCGGATGGCTACACATACTTCTACAACACAAACACAGGAGGTGAGGGGGTCCCTGCCTAAGCCCAGTCTGTTTTTACAGTGTGTTTGCTAGCTTCTATTAGTCATTATAAGTTCAATATTTAATTTTTGTTAGTTATAGTAGTAGTTTTTGTTTTTGTTCTTCATACTTTTGTTCATCTTAGGTGCAGAATTCCATAAGGTCATAGTATTGTATTGTGATTATGAATACGTTGATTGGGTCAGTTTCAAGAAACGTATTCAATTGTTATTGCACAACTAGCTGACTCTGACGTTTTCTCCCAACTGTGGCTGTCACTGTTTTGTGGACTAAGTAAAGACAGGAGTATAGAATAGTATAATTTCAGTATGTTTTAGTTTTATAAACACAAAATGTCGTTCCAGATATAGATTTTCCCCAGTAATTGCCATTTTTATTTTATTTACAAGAAGTTTTCTCCATTACAGTTTTCATTATGTCATTAGTTTTAGTAAACTATTATAACTTTGATCCAGAGGTCAACAATGTCAGTTTTGTTTGTCTCCTCTTAGAGTCCAGCTGGGAGAAGCCGGCGGACTTTCCTTCCAGCGAGGAATCGGAGACCCAGCAGGAGAAAGAGGAGAACGCAGGTGAGGACCCAAGTTCCCAGCCGGAGACTGCGCCCGCAGGGGAGGAGCGCTCCGAGTCTGACAGGTCAGCACTGGAGCTGCAGCCAATGGGAGAAGTAGATCCGAAGCCCAAAATCCCCAAAATCAACTTCAGGGTGAGATTAAATAAAAACTACGCTCAGGCGAATTTTAAAAAGTGAGACCTGAGAGTTTATTTCTTGTTTTTAGAAAAGAAAAATAGAGACTGAACCCTCGGAAAAAGAAAGTGAGGATAAAATGGCAGAAGCAGCTCTGGAAGAGGAAAAGAAAGAGACAAAACCAGAGGAAGAGGCGCAGAGGTCAGGACCCAAACCAGAGACAGTAGCAGAGGTGGCGACAGCAGGAAAAACTCCAGTAAAAAGGCCCCGAGCAGCCAATCCGTACGGAGCCTGGGAACGGATCCAGCAGAAGCAGGATCCATTGTAAGTATTCCCAATCCGACACATGGAACGAAGTGGACCACAGGTAATCAGCTGGTGTTTTCCCGTCTGCTTCCCAGTGCTAACGTGGATTTACAGCTGCCCCAGACGGAGGAGAACGTGGCTGGCACTCCGGCAGAACTCCCGTCGGAACCCAAACCCAAGTTCAAGGAACGCGTCATCACCTCTCTGGGAGAGGAGGGCGGACCCACCTCATTCCGGAGGAACAAGGCCCAAAACGGGAAGAACAGGAGCCTTCGGCAGAGAGACGACGACGACTGATCCCAGCAGAAGCTTTCAGAGGGAGACTTTCCTGGAAGTAAAAGTTTCTAGGAACATGTCAATGAATTGACATGAACTTTTGTAGGAGGTTTTTTATTTTTCTGAATGTATGATGAGCAGGATTTGGCCAGATTAAAAATGTAATGTATTTTTTATGCTCTGAAGTCATGATTTTGAAGAGAGGTTAATGAAACGTTCCTATAGTTTGGGATCTTATTAAATGGAGACAATCCAACATGATCATTTTCCAGCAATTAGAGGGGAATGAAACCCATTCCAGGCCCAGGAGGGCTATTGGCCTCTTGGCACAGACGCATAGGGGGTGACGTGGGGAGTGTGTGTGTAGAGCTGATAGATGTTTTCACCACACCCTGACTGGCAAATAACCAGAGAAACGATGTTTTCTGACCGATCATCCATCTTTATTACCAAAAAAACAGACGCAGCAGCATGGAGACATGCATCCTGATGTGGCAGGCCTGGTTCCAGAGGTGATGGAGAGAAGTATCCACTCGGTCTGGAATTTCATTGACCAGTTATAAGCATGGAGCAAATGGAATATGGTAGTTTAAAAGTTGCATCCTCCACCTTTCCAAACATCTTCTGTCCATCCACTCACCCGTTTGTAAAGGTTCACTGATTGAAGTTTTCTGGCCGATCATCCATCTTTAAGAAGTCTGACCTGCCAATTATGATTTTGGTCAATGCAAATTTTTTTTTGTATAAATGGTTGCTGAGTTAGCAACAATGGGGCGACTTATTAAATGAACACGTCAATTTATCGGTGCACCCTTACTTAATTTTTCATTGTCTATTTTTTCATTAATCAGTCCAGCTACCCTACTTGTCTGTCCATCCATCCGTCAGTCTGCAGACTGTCCGGTCACAAAGATCTCTACCGCCTCCAGCAGAGCCTCCTGCTCAGAATGCTCCAGCAGGTCTGTCATCAGCTCCTCCAGCTCCTCCCCTCCTCTCATGAACTCCTGAAAACAAAATACATGAGGGGTTTAGTCTGACATGAGTCACAAGTAGAGATGTGCCAATCAGGTTATTTCCTGGCGATTCCGATTCCGATCACCCATGAGGGCCGATCACATAATTATTATGATTTTAATCATAAGCACTACCGGTTACATTATGTCGAAAAAGGAACCATGAATTCACCTTAATTTAGACAGAAACTTGTTTTTAATAAGTTTTTCCAAGAAAAAAAAAAACAAAACAGGCATTGTGCAAATTGTACTGCTATTGATAATACTATCTTTAATAGACTGAAAACATATGAAGGCTCTGAAGAGGCTAAATAATGCAAAGAGCCAAAATAAAACCTCTCAACATTGCCAAAAAAATTCAAGTATAAAACTTAACATTCAAAGGCAAAAACAGGTTCCATTACAACAAACAATCCAGAGTTACTGAATGAAAACTTCCTGATAGCATGGCGGCTAGCTGATTACTGCTAGTTCTCATTGGCTGTTTCTGACTGAGTGGAGGAATTATGCAGATCAGGGAGGAGATCGATTTTTTTTTTTAGAGATTATCTGTCTCATGTAAACAGTTTGACTTTTTACTGGACTCATTCTAGATCAACAAACCAGGTCAAGACAACCTCCAGTAGCTCTGAGGGTAGAGATCTGGCCACAATGTTCCATTCAGATTGTCATCATCAAGTACTGCAAACTTTACCCTAAGTTAACATTTGTTGTGATCAAATCAATTTTACAGGCAGACATATGGATATTAACATTTGCTTCTCATCTGACCTTAATGTCTCTGGTGGTGTATCCTGTCCGGTGGTCGGTGACTCGATCCTGGCTGAAGTTGTAGGTGCGAATCCTCTCTGCCTGGTTGCGTGTGCCCACCTTGATAATAGAGAAAAGCTGAGCTTTGGCTAGGCCTGGAACTTCCAGGTATTTTATTCAGGTAAGATTCAGTGGAATCTTTCTTCCACTCCAATAAACGAAATGTACATGCACCTTCAAATTTTAAAGAAACAATGGAGAGACTCCTTCAACCTTTTAGAGCAGGAGTGTCAAACTCATTTTCATTTTGGGCCATATCAAAAATCTAAAGGGCCACTTGTGCCAGAATGTATTGATAAAACTAATACAAATGTTAAAATATCAACAAATAGCTGTTTGTTTCAGCATTCAGTTAGTGTTTCTTAAAATGAAATATTGAACATCTTTTCACAATGATGAGTCCATTCAGGATTTTGCTATTGTTTTTGTGTTTCTTTTTAGCTACCAAAATCAGATTTTGTGGCGCTAATTTAGAAATTTTTTGAGGACTTTTTATGATATTTGTGCTTATGTATGACATTAAATGTGACTTTTTATTAATCGCTATGTCGATCCCAGACTATAACTTGACATCAAGTAAGGTTGAGGCAGCAGTCATCTAAACTCAATGTTTTTATCCAATTTTGAGAACAATTTGCAGCAAAAGTCAGAAAAAAAATGGGGGAATCTGTAGATTTTGTGTGAACTTTGAGTGAGTTTTGCAGATTTGTTGAAAAACTGGAGGGACTTATTAATGTAATTTGGAGTCTAGAGGGTCACATAAAAAGCTACGATGGGCCACGTTTGGCCCACAGGCCTTGAGTTTGACACCGGTACTTTACAATTAAAACATTTAATTTCATATTGCAGAGCCATCTAGTGTCAAAATTTTAAAATGTAATTAACTGGTAAGTGGCCTGAGGTCATATTTTGCTGTAAAAGTCCTACTGACCACTCAAAGTATGAGACCCACATTTATAAACACATTCTCACAACATAGTGCTTTTTATAGTGCTTTGGTCAAAGGGCACATTAACGTGTAAAAATATCCATACGTATCATTGTCAAGTCGCAGAGTCCAGTTCTGCTTCAGCTTCATTTTGGGTATTTGTTTTTTTTTTCTGGAATGCTGTATTTGATTCCTGCCAAAAATGTTCTGGTGTCCGAATAACTCAGTTTTAGTCTCATTGGTCCAAAGAACATCTTCCCTACGGCAATGTTCTTTCTGGAAAACTTTTGTCTGGTCACTCATATTTTTTAAAGAGCTTAAGCTCCCTTCTTCTACAGGAACAACATCTGAGACAGATTCTCAACGGTGTCCTGACCTGCTGCTTTCGCGCCATGTGCCTTTGCTCGGTCTCCTTGCCCATCATGCTCTGGTAGAGTCTGGCCCTCAACATGCGCATGGCCGTGTCTCTGTTCTGCAGCTGCGAGCGCGTCTGCTGGCACTCAGACACTATTCCTGTTAGAACCGACATGTTTATAGCTGGAACAGATCCTAAGTAACTTCAGGAAGATCTCTGGCAGACCGGACCTGTAGGAAGGTGAACTATCCGCACGGCGCTGTCTGTTGTGTTAACGCCCTGGCCACCAGGGCCTCGTGATCTGAACGTGTCGATCCGCAGATCCTTTGGGTCAATGTGGACGTCCAACTACAGAGAGAGTTTGAGGTTAGCATCAGAGAGAGAAACAAGGTAAAAGTTTGGGGTGTACCTCAACTGGCTGTGGCAGGATGATGACCGACATAGTTCCAGTGTGGATCCGCTGCATCCTGGATGAGAGGCCCACCTCAGGGATCCTCTGAACCCGGTGCGTTCCTCCTTCATGTTTCAGGTGCATGTACACATTATCCCCGGCTATCCTGACTGCCGCATGGTGCAGTCCACCTAAAGACAGCTAACTGTCATTGTTCTATTGTTCTGTGTAAAGCACAGTACAGACTTACTATGATCAATCAAACCCAATCAAAAGAAAGATTGTTGCATTTAGTCAATTTTCAAGCCTAGTTAAGCAATGTTGGCCACACAACTTTAGGATTGTTTTTTTATTTTTTACTGAAATGTAGTATCACTGGTGCTATTATTAAACTCTTTCGGTTGGGTAACCTTACCGTACTCTGCAGGCGAGTAATTCAGAACCTCAAAATTCCAGTTCTTGTAACAAGCAAAGCCTCGGTACATGTCAAACATTTCCCTGGTGAACTGCTGGCAGATGTCACCTGAAACAGAGTCAACATTCATCTTTTGAGAACCCCCTAAAGGTTAACTGATTTTCATTTTCATACGTGGATTTTTAATATTATACATAACAGCAACAAGAAAGATGGATCTTTCTTCTTGCTGCCAAAGAAAATGTGGAAAATTAAATGAAGGAACCAGAATCTGATGCTTGAATGCCAAGGAAAATAGTCCCGTTTTCTTTCCTACCTCCTGTTGTTCGTCCTGAGACAATCTCCAGCACAACGTCGCTTGGGTCCAGAGGGTCAACGGGCACAAGAGCTTTGATTAACTGGAGAGAAAATACAGTTTTAAGCATGACAACAGGAAGAGTTGGTTGGGGTCAAATTGCACAGTTTTACATCATATTTGAGTTTCAACCAATTTTTTTTTTTTTTTTTTATGCCTCTGTGCCCCTTACTGGCGTACCGCAAGGATCCATTCTGCGCTACTATTTAATCATTAAATGTTGACTTTAGTTTCCATCTTTAGAAAGCACAACAAGTCTTCCACTGGTTGGCTAATGATGGACAGATATACCTGACACCAGACAGCATCAGGTATTATACTGGTAACGGTGTTTTAGTTTGGAAACACAAGTTTGTTTCCTGTTTCTGACAACTTCTACTGATTTTAATGTGTTGAATAAAAAAAAAAAAAAAAAAAAGATTGACCTTGAAAAGTGTGATCAGTGACATTAAAGCTCTGTAAATGTTTGCACAGGACTCACATGTTTTCTCAAGGTCAGAATGTTGCTGCAGATCTGCGCCTCCTCCTCTCTGAGCAGCTGGATCAGGTTTTGATCTTCATCTTTAGTACCAGCTGAGTATTCACAGGTTCAAAATGAACCTAAGACACGAATATTCCACCCTAAGGTTAGGAATACGAAAGGTTTCGGTCACTACTCACTGTGCAGAAGCGAAAGGACTTCTTCCAAGTCTTTCTGGGCTTGTTCAATGCTTCCAAACAGACCAGCAACAGGCAGCAGCTCTGTGTGCTTCTTTAGCAGCGCTTTCCTGTCTGAATCGCGGAGCTGATTGTGTTGTAACTTGCGGCTTAGTTCTCTGTGTTCCTCCATCAGTTTCTGTAGATACCTCTGAACTGAGCTGATGTTGTACAAATCCCCTATATCACAATGTGAAAGGCGTTTTGGGACTGCATTGGTACCCCGTAGCTGTACCTCTGTAAAGTTAGCAGGTCTTAGCCCGCTGTGGTCCTTCGGGGTCCCCCACGGAAACCCACGGCGTGAAACTACACGGCTGCAGTGGCAGCACAGTTCGAACCAGCGAGGGAAAAACATTTCAGCTAAGTTTTAGGAGCCGGTGAAGAAGAAATGTTTCTGGCGAGCGCTGATGACACAAGCACACACGGGAAGTAGCCGAAATTCTAGCAATAAAGACTTCTGGGAAATGTAGTTTTATCTTTGGGTTAAATTAGCAACTTATCGGTAACCAACTAATCAATCGCTATATTTTCATCGGTTTCATAAAGTTGTGATAAATAAGTTTAAAGCGTTGTAGGGCTATGTGTAAAATGTCGGAATTCACGGATAACAAGGGTTAGGAAATAATATTGCAAAATACTGAAGTAAATATTGGAACGTTAACAAATATGTATATATTTTTACTAAGAAGGTATTAGCCTAATATTTCTTAGCCGACTAGCATATTAGCTTCACGACTAACAGGCTAACAGGCAATACAGAAACAAGTAAATGTCATTTTAAATTTGTGGTACAAAAACAAACTCTTTCAATCTGGCTATGTTGGATACATAATACTTCACCTTAGCTGGAAAATATGAACATTTTTCATGTATGAAGTGTTTTCATTTCTATTCCAACTGGAACAGAAAAATAAAGTTGGTTTAACACATGATTTAAGTGTTTTATTGTGACGTGTTCAGGCTTCCAGGAATCCTGTGAGTTTTCATTAACTAAGGCGGTGGAGGATGTCAGTCAGCACAGCCACACCCAGACTGAGACCCTGAGAGAGAAACAGAAAATTCTGAAAACCTTGCAGGTACACCTCTTCATTTTTCTGATAAAACTTCACTCAAACTGGTTAGCAAAATTATTCATACCCTTGTGAACTTTTCCATATTTTGTAACGATAAATATATTTCATTGGAATTTTATGTGAAAGACCAACACAAAGTGGTATCCAGTTGTGAAGATAGAAAATTATTCATGATTCAAACCATATTTTACAAATGAAAAACTGAAAAGTGCAGTGTGCAAAAGTATTCAGCCCCCCCTTTCTCTGAGTGCAATCAATTGCCCTCAGAAGAAGTTGCCACAGAGAAGTTGTATTTGTCCTGAGATCAGATTACCCTCAGGTAGACTCCATTAAATCATTAACAGCCAGCAGGCAACTTCTGGATGGGTATGAATACTTTTGCGAGCCACTGTATTTCTGTAGTATCTGTAATATCATGCTATTATGATTCGGTGTGTTTCTATTGAAGGCGGCTCTGGCTGACATTGAAAAGAAAACTGTACATGCGGAGCAGCAGCTGAGGTCCAAGTTGAGAGAAATCCGCCTGCTGGAGGGAGAGATGGAGCATCTGGAGAGGCAAAAAGTGCTGCTGCAGGACCGCTGTGCCAGCATCAACAGGGAGAACGTAAAACAACACATGCTCATACAGGACAAGGAGGAGAATGCCCGATCCACTCTGGAAAAAATCAGCATGTACAGAAACAAGATGAAAGGCCACAGAGATGCCGTTCTGCAGGCTGTGAGCCAGATAGAGGCCCACAGGGAGCTGGAGGAGAACAGGATGCTGGTCTTGAAGCTGAGGCAGGAGAAGGAACAGCTCAAGGAGGATCTGCAAAACCCAAATGGGATAACCCTGCAAACAGCTAAGGTACAAAACATACACAAAATGATTTTAAAGTATTTGGTTTGTGTAAACTTTCTTCTGTCCAGGAGGAAACTGATGCCCTGAAGAAAGAGATCTCTGAGAGAAATATAGCCATTGCTGGAGGAAGAGAACAACTGAAAAAAGAGTTTGAGATTCATGCAAAGTTAAAGAGAGATATCGAGGTACAGCAGAGGATTGAATTATCCCCCCAAAATTAAAACATTTTGTTGATGATTTTCTCTCCTCTAGATCCAAAACAGGCGCTATGAAGCCATCGTCAAACGGCTGCGCTGCCAGCTCAGCAGAGCTCAGGCCGTACACAGGTGAAGCCATCGCCCCAAAGTCATCTATTTCCTCTTTACATGACACAAAATTTTAAAAATGCAATCAAATCGTCTCTTTTTTCAGGCATACTTTGGATGAAATTTTCCACCTGCAGAAGGAGCTGACTGAGCTCAAGGGGCATCAGCATTCTTCACAGGATTGAAGATATTTAAAGTGCAATATTATGTCTGTCTAATCTTGGTTATTTGTTCTGCTGGAGAATGTTTGTCTAATCTTGGTTATTTGTTCTGCTGGAGAATACATTTAGGGATTTAAGATACTTGCTACTAATAGAACAGTTTGTTTTTGTTCCTTGTGTTGAGCAGGTGGGGGCAGCACCCTCCAGTAAATCTCTAGCTAAGGCTTCTTATGTGTTTGACTGTCATATTCTGTGTTTATGCAAACCACCAATGGCCTCAATTTAAGCTTTGCCAAATCCAAACGCTAATCCACTGAGAATTTATTAAATAAAGACACGTTTATCTTGTGTGGATTGCTGTCGACATTAACAGAGTGTGGGATGGGATTTCTGCTCAAATGATGACAGAAAATCAATCCCTGCAGAACAGAGTTTGATGCACAACAAAAGCCATGTGTCCACTGTAGCTGACAGGCAATGAGGTTTGTTTTGGAATGCACTGTTCCAGCTCCTGCTCCACTAAGTAGCTTGACGACTGCGAAGTGACAGTTCCACCGTCCCTTGGTCCAGGGTACGACTTCTTTGCCACAGTAATGCAACAATTGCTCGGCATTTTTAAGAACTGAGTCCACATCATACAGACTGAAAAAAGAAAATTAAATGTTTAATCAAAAATGGGCAGAAAACATTTTAAAACAAGTCAGGATTTATGTAGTCAAATTTATCTTTTACCATTTAGTTAGTATTTTTAAAAGTGTTTTGCATTTAAGTTTCAATTAGAAATAAAAACAAAGTTACCAAAAATGTTGGAAGGTAGCATTTAGGTTGAAATCTAATAACCAAGTTTGCATTTAGCTAGCTAACTTTGGCATAACTATATAGCATTTTAGTTAACATCCAAAAACAACTTATTTAGCTAAACGGTTGGGACTAAAACCAGAGAGCTATTTGGTATTTTAAAACAACTTAGCATTTTGTATTTAAGTGAGGGTTAATGAATAAATTTAAAAAGAAGTTAGGATTTAAATTAGACTTAAGTTAAGCACTTGAAATTTAGGTTTGCATTTAAATAGGCATATTAAAAAGCATTAAAAACAAAATGAGCTAGTACAATTTGGCATTTGAGTTGGGATTTTAAAAATGGTATTTCGGTAAACATCTAAAAATGCAAGTTAACATTAAAATGATTAAGTATATAGCATTTAAAAGTATTTTTTTTAATCAATTCACTTAAGATTGTCTTTAAAAATTAATTAACTTAATAAATTAACTTGTTATTCTATTATTCCTTTAGTATTTTGAGTTGCTGTTTTTTTCCCTTTTCTTTTATGATTTCACATTTAAGCTAGTTATTTAAAGACAATTTAGCAGTTTACTCTAAAAATTATTTTGAACTTATTTGTGAGCACCTAACTCCAGAGCAAAGACAGAAGAGCTTGTGAAAACAGTGGATGAAACAGGAAGGGGAGCTGAACACGAGGTGAAAGGCAACTCGGAGATGTAGAAGTAATTTCTACAAGCAACATAACAGTATCATGTGTCAGTGATATTTCTTGCACTTCACAAAATAAATGGCATCACGAGGAAAGGACATTACGTTGACATATTGAAACAACATCTAAGGACAACCAGAAAGGTAAAAGCACAAGGAGGTCTTGAAAATGGACAACAGTTTAAATCCTTTAAAATGAAGTGATATTCTGCCAGCTGGCATTCTGTTGTGTTTGCAGTACCATACCTTGACTGAGCTCCTTTTAACATCCAGCCTGACAGTCCCTGGATTTGCAGTGTTGACACTGCTCTGCCATGGGCCTCCTCTCAAACTACCATAAACAACAATCGTCTAGTATAAATAGAAACAAACTGCAAGTGAATTCAGTTTGTTCTCTTTGAATAGTACAAGCACATACCTTCACGCTTCCACCCACAGTCTCATTTGTCCATGCACGAACCATGAAGGACTATTTTTACTCCTCGTTGACACAAATTAAATGAACATGGTGACAAAAATAAGTGAGATGGTAAATGTTCCCATGCAATGAGGAGCAGGGAGTTCCTTGACTCCATTTACATAATCCCACTCCCATGACACATTTGTCATAAGACATTTTGATTAGTGTGATCTTTGTTTGAGCCAGAAAGTGTTTAGGCATGCCAGGACACTCAGAGGTGCTGAAACACTGTAACAGTGTTTGTTATTACGCAATAGTCAGCCCCGCCCTTATCTCACCATTCATTCGACTGACTACTGACCAGTTCTCTATCTAACAGGTCCGGAAAATCTCTAAAACCCGGGTCTTACCCCAAAGTCGGTTTATATGAGATATTCTATTTAATCTGGCGGCGGAAAAGACGCGTCTAGCTCTAACTACCTACAATCCAGAAGTTATGACCCTTTCCAGTTGAGAAACAGTCAGCAGAGTAGCCCTCACCGCTGCATAGCTTCAACAACCACTCCTGTTAACGGTAGATCTTTTCCTTAAAATAACGGCACTTGTTAACAGCTAGATTAGTTTTAGTAACTTAGATTTAAGTCCCAGGGTCATTATTTTAACACTCACCAAAGGAAAGTACGAAGCCACCACATCTCTAGAATCATGTACACTAATTTTACTGCAATCAGGGGAAATTACAATGATCAAATGACTCAATTAATCTCAATGCCCACAAGTTTCATTGGAATTTTTAGTATGTAATTTTATTAAGCAAGCTTTAGCAGGGATAAGTGACAAGTAGATTAACTTTCAGAGATTACAAAATTGTAATAAGAAAATAAATTCAACTTAAATTAATTACAACCTATCTTCATTTCTATCCCTATCCTGTGTCACTAGTTTAACTAAGCGAGGCTCTTGGGGGTCAGTTCAACTCACACCCAGATGGCAATTGATCCCGGCAGCAGGAATCTTCAGATGTCCTTGGTCAGAGTCTTTGTCCTGTCGTGGCAAAGTCCCCTTTCAGAATAGAAGCAAAGCAGAACTGTCCGTTGTCCTTCAAACGCACAGAATCTTCGTCACAGAAAGACCTTTGTCTTTTCTCCAAGTCTGCTGCAGTAGAGTAGAGATCGTTGGGTTGAGGCAGAGGTGTTGATCAAATCAGGAACCAGGGCTGGGGGTAGATGGATCTTGTCCCTTCTTAGCGGCGTGAAGTCTCAACTTCCCCTTGGTTCCAGGATGCGGTCCTCTGCTGATCTTCAATCTGCGTCCTCTTGTTGGTTCTCCTTCAGCGCCGCAGACAAAGAACAGTTTCCTCCCTTGTCTGCTGGTTTTTAAACCCTCTCAGCCCATGGTTGTGTATGGGAGAAGTCTACGTGACTTCTGAACCGTTCCACTCAGTCTGTGGCAAGTCCCAACATTTCCTAACCATCCTCTCCTTCGTGACTTATTGCAGCAACTCTCTTCGGTACTTCCCTTTTCTACTGGCCATCTGGCCGTTGAGGCCATTTCTCGTAACTTACTTCCCTTTTTTGAGTTTTCCCTGCACCCCCGCCTAGCT